GGGGGGGGTAAGGGACCTGAGTGACAGATGTGGGAAAGGAAGGGGTTTGGAGGTGCAGGGAGGGGGCTAAGGGACGTGAGTGACAGACGTGAGCCAGGAAGAGATTTGGGGGGTGCAGGGGAGAAGCAAAGAGACATGAGTGACAGACGTGGGATAGGAAGGGGTTTGGGGGTGCAGGGAAGGACGATAGGATGTGGGAGATAAATAGTCGGAGGCAGGGGGCTTGAGATTCCGAGGGGTGATGGATTTGGGGTGCGGGGAAGAAGCCACAGAATTGGGGGAGGGCCGAGAAGTTTTGGTGAATGGGTAGAGGAGGGCTGGGGACCAAAGCTAAGCGTTTAAAAGGTGAGTGAGTCCATTTGAGCTCAGCGGAGGACAACGGGGCTCTGGATTTGTAGGGATGGATAAAAGCGCTTTGAGGGACAAAGGCGTAGGCACCAGGGCCAGAAATTTAGGAGGGAAAGAATGCAGCAGGGAAGAGCTATCGGTTTACTTGAGAAGGGGGCTGTGGATTTGATGGCGACGACAGATTTGGTGGGAGGAGGGGCCTCTCCGCATTGGGGGAGTGGAGCCGCGGTAGCGACGCGCCTGGAGAGGGGAGCCAGGAGGCGGCTTTTAGGGGGAAGGGGATGACGCACTTAGGGGAGGAAGGAAATGGAATTGCAGTGATCGTGTCTGCGTGGGCTGGGAATGGGCAGAAAGGGCAGTGGGACAGGCACAATAGGTAAGGGCCGGCGAAAACTGGAGCAAAGGTAGGGATGTCTGGACTCAAGGATGCTCGGGCACCTGACGTTTATGCTTGTTGCCAGCCATGCAGTCCAGAAGAGAATGAGGGAGGATAAAGGGGGTCGGGGGCTAGAAGAAGGCGTGCATTTGGCAGAATTGGGTGGGTGGGATGGGGGCGGGGCAGTTTTGATTGGCATAGTTCAAGCTCAAGACGGATACCCAAAGATGTAGTCTAGAATTTTCCAGTTCGGAGGAGTGGAGGATGGGTAGTGAAAATTGAGATGGACACCCAGCTAAGATCTGAGCTTTGATTTAAGGCAAGTGGGTGTGAGATGCTGCTGTCCTTGTAATAGAACTGAGAGCATCAGAAATACGTTTGGAATGAGAAGGCCTGGGGAATGGGAATCCTTGACACTCTGGCATCTGAGGAATGGGGATAGTAGAATTTGGAGTTTGACTAGAAAATATGACAAGGAATGAGAAGATGAAGTCAGGGCCGTCGGGCCTCCAACTGTGACAGATTTGGAGATGGCTGATGGGGCCTTTACAACATTGGGGATTATAGCCACACTAGGCCTCAGCTTAGGAGAGACACTGAGCTTTGGAGGTATTTTGAATTGAGCTGCAGGGGTGCTGGCGGCCGATGGGGTGAGAGTTGAATGTGGACTTGAGGACGCCAGGTGGAGTGTCTGGGTGGGGGTGGGAGGCTGCTGGGTGCCAGGAATGGGTGGGCTTCATGGGAGGGCAGTGGGGAAGTGGCTTATCGTTGGACCCTGGTGGCGTTAGTATACGGGTTTGAAAAAAGAATGACATGAAAGGGTTTTGGAAAAGGACCTGGACAGTGAGTGGGAGCCCCAGGCTGAGGAGAACTCCGTGGCAGGTGGGTATGACCCAGAGAGGTCTGCTGGGGGTGACAACTTCCGGGAGAGAGCTTGATGGCTGTAGCTTGGCAATCAGTAACACTGAAAAAAAAAGTAATAATAGTGACAGGTTGTCTTCTGCAGGGAGCAGGTGTGCCGTGCTAGATGGAGGTTGCCTCCACTGAGGGGAATAAAACAGAAGGCCTGAGATCAAGGCACGTGGGTGTTAGGGTGGAGGTGGTGCAGACTGGAAGAGAGACGGGGAACTGGCTCTGCTGGTGTTAGGGCTGGGGTCACAGTGTTGGATGTGGTCAGGACACCTAGAAACACATTTGGGCGAGCGTGACTTGGGAACAGATCATTTAGAACTTGACCATAGTTAGCAGTGTGCCTTTGACGGTAACCCAGTGGCCATTAAGAAAACAGACTCGGCCGGGCGGTGGTGGCGCACGCCTTTAATCCCAGCACTCGAGAGGCAGAGCCAGGCGGATCTCTGTGAGTTCGAGGCCAGCCTGGGCTACCAAGTGAGCCCCAGGAAAGGCGCAAAGCTACGCAGAGAAACCCTGTCTCGAAAAACAAACAACAAAAAAAAAAAAGAAAGAAAACAGACTCTCGGCCAGGCGGTGGTGGCGCACACCTTTGATCTCAGCACTCCGGAAGCAGAGGCAGGCGGATCTCTGTGAGTTTGAGGCCAGCCTGGTCTACACAGAGAGAAAACCCTGTCTGTGGAAAAATAAAGACAGTGCACTCAGCAGATTTGGGCGCCATGAGGATGTGTGGCTGGGGGGCCAGGTTTCAGGACCGGGTTAGAGTTGTAGTGGTTAAGACTGGGCCGACGTCACAATAGCCAGAGCCTGGGCCTTGAGTTGGGAGCACAAAGGAAGGACCACCGCTACTTGAAGATGGCGAACTTCAGACCTACAAGAAAAACTCTGGAAGGGAGAACTGTTGTCTGGATCACCCGACTCTCTTCTGAATAAGTCCTTGTGAGCTGCACTTTTTTAAAGACCTCACAATAAAGCGGTTTTGAAATGTACAGTCGGGCTGGAGAGATGGCTCAGAGGTTAAGAGCACTGACTGCTCTTCCAGAGGTTCTGAGTTCAGTTCCCAGCAACCACATGGTGGCTCACCACCATCTACAATGAGATCTGGTGCCCTCTTCTGTATACATAATAAATAAATAAATCTTAAAAAAAAAAAAAAGAAAATTACAGTCGGGGTCTGTGAGATGGTTAGCAGCAGACAGGTAGGTCACTTGTCAATCAAGCCTGAGGATGGGAGTTCGATCCCTGGAACTTACAGTCTAGGTGACAAGAGAAACCCTGACTCCGAAGGTGTCCTCCGACCTCCACCTACACAATAGTAATAAAATCAAGAATTAAAACATTTCTAATCAGTCATCTTCAGTATGTCTCAGAGCCACGCCCACAGGAATAATGTGAACTTGGAGGAAATACCTCCGTAATGAAGAAGCAGCAGCAGCCAGCCAGAGCCCAGTACAGTTCGCAAGGCCAGGCCTCCTGTCCTGTGCGTGGGCTGTGTCCTCACTGCATCCAACAGGTGCCCCCGGTCTGTGCTGAGGGCATAAGGCTAGGGTGCTCCCTCGTGCCTAGTGTGGTGGTCCTCACCCCCACTTAGGCTCTGGTGTGTACCCTCCCACCCTGCTGGCAGCAGAGTTTCTCATTGATTGGCAAAATATTAGCACCCTGGCCCCTCCGCAGGGGCCTCATGTAGGTATGGATGACTCTGTCCTCTGGCTGCCCGTCTGTGGGCCTGACAGATGCTCGGTTGTAGCGCACTGCTGTACAGTGAAAGGTTAGATGATGTGTGGAAACCAGGGTCATTCGGTCCCAGGGATACAGGGTGACTGGGATTAGAACCCAGTTAAGCAGGTGCGTTTGAGACCCGCACGTGCTAAGCCTGGGCCTGGCAGGGACAGGTGGGGAGGAATCTACAGTAGACTTAGAGGAGTTGGGGGAGGTGGAGCGGGGCCGAGACCCAAGGCTGCTGTTTTCTCAGTGTGCTGTGAATTAGGCTGGGATGAAGTTTTATCCTGAAGATGGGAGTTAGCAGATTTAGTCTCAGAGGAGACTGCAGAGGGAAGCCCTTAAAAATGGGTGCTTCCAGTCAGCGAATTGGCTCAGCAGGTAAAGACACTTGCTGTCAAGTGTGATGGATGACCTGAGGTAAATCCCCAGAACCCTGAGCTTGAGGCCAGCCTGGTCTACAGAGTGAGTTCCAGGACAGCCAGGGCTACACAATGAAACCCTGTCTCAAAAAAAAAAAAGAGAGAGAGAGAGAAAGAAAGAGAGAGAGAGAGAAATCCCTGGAACCCACAGAAAGGACAGAGAACCTGTTCCTGCAAGTTGTCCTCTGACTGCCACATGTGTGCCCCAACACATATGTCCACATAAGTCAATAAGTGTTAAAAAAAAATTTTAGATGGCCGGGCAGTGGTGGCGCATGCCCTTAATCCCAGCACTCTGGTGGCAGAGGCTGGCAGATCTCTTGAGTTCGAGGCCAGCCTGGTCTACAGAGCGAGATCCAGGACAGCCAGGGCTGCACAGAGAAACCCTGTCTTGAAAAACAAAACAAGCAAACTTAAAGGTGTGTTTCTGTGCCAGTGAGATGCTGCAGTGGGTAAAGACACCTGAGGACCTGAACTGAACCCAAAGACCCGCATGGTGGAAGGGGGGAACTAACTCGTGCAAGTTGTCCTCTGACATCCACACGCACACCATGGTTGTGTGTGTGCCCGTACACAAACACACAGGGACACAAAACAAACAGTTCTATCCCTGGAACCACCTAAGTTGTCTTCTGACCACGCACGTCTCATTCCCCCTCCTCCCATCATGCACCTGATAAGATTGGGCTGGAGAGATGGCTCAGAGGTTAAGAGCACTGACTGCTCTTCCAGAGGTCCTGAGTTCAATTCCCAGCAACCACATGGTGGCTCCCAACCACCCATAATTAGATCTGGTGCCCTCTTCTGTATACATAATAAATAAATAAATCTTAAAAAAAAAAAAACACCAAAAGGGTAAGATTGTAAAATGTAGTAAAAGGCTCTTAAATAATCAAATAAAAGCAGGGGTCTGCATTGAGATCCTCTACCATCGAGGCTGTGGAGGGTGTGTGATTTAGATTGGGGCCAGGGTGGGACCTAAGACTAGGCATTGATGAAGAATACCAGCTGATGCTCCCAGGGAGGTGGGAACAGCCTCAGCATGTGTGGGAGGAAGCGGCACGCTGCCTTCCAGTGACCCTTGGTTTTGTCTCTTGATTCTGAAGGTGGGTCATGAGCCGATGCCCCCCACCCTTGGGACCAACGTGCTGGGGAGGAAGGTCCTCTACCTACCAAGCTTCTTCACCTACGGTGAGTGCCACAGGCCCAGCCAGCCCTGGGAGCCAGTGCCAGCTCTAAGGAGGGGGCCCGAGAGTGGCCCGAGGTAGCAGGAGTTGGGTGGGAGCCTGTGGGGGCTGCAGGACCCAGGCTGGTTCTAGAACCGTGGGGGTGTGTGTGTGGTAGATTCTATGCAGATACATGAGCTTGTCTATGCAGGTGCTCTCCTGTTCTAGCCCCGCTGTACTGTGTAGACAAAGGGACACTAACTGCCCAGCTTCCTCACCGCATCCCACCTCTCTGTCTTTGCTCCTGTCCCCAGGCCTGTGGGTGACAGCTGGCTAGGGCATGGTAGGTTTGCTGTGCCCCCCCATCCCCTCCCGCCAGCATGAGGGATCTTCTTGAAGTGCCTTTCTGAGGTTACTTGCCTGAGTCCCGTTCTGGACCTCTCTTACCCATTTGGCTGGTCTAGAATGTTCTTTGCGAGTCTCCCCTGCTCCATAACCTGGTTCTTGACCTCTGAGCCGCCTTCTCCAACACGCACTTGTCGTTGGCAGAGTCACAGGTCGGGTTCTTTTCCAGTTCTGCCTCCGGTTCCGGGTGCAGCGCCTAGGCCAGGCAGAATGGCCATTTCGTGGGGAAGTGTGTTTGTATTTATTTCAAGATCGGTGGTGTAGGGGAAGAGGGGAACCATGGCAGTCGAGCGCCCCCACCCACCATTGGGCACAAAGATAACGAACACGGGCGTGTGGCCACCCTGCTTTCTCAGATTGGCCTATGGCAGCCAGCGCCATTAGGAAGGACTCATGTCTGAGGTCATGCCTGTTCACATGGGACCATCCTGACCTTTATCTAAGGGCCTCCTGCTAGCGTGAGCCAGGTTCTGAGGCGCCCCCACCCAGGTTTTAGAAATGTTTCAGATCAGATGTCAAGAGCAGATGTCTGCTGGGCTCCTCTGGACACTGGCTGCTCCTGAGTCAGGAAGTGCCGGCCGTCTGGCTGTCTGGAACTCTCTGGCCAGTGTCTCCTCCTCCCCCACACTGGAGTGGAGAGCCCCACAGCTGTGGACGGTCTATGGTGCAAGGCTGGAGTCCCTGGGGGCTTGCAGGCTCCGCAGAAAGAAAGGCCGTGTGGTGGTGGACCGGGGCAGCTCCTGAGAGGGCCTCTGTGCGCCTTGCTGCCTCCTCTTACTGGATGGCTCAGCCGAGAAGCGGGCAAATCCCGGAGCTGGCTCTCTGGCAGCCGCCCCGAGGCTCTGCCCGAGCCTGCCCCTTAGCCTGGAGTAGAACAGCTCCGCACTGAGTCATTGCCCAGCCCCCGGCACCCTCGTCCCCTTCCCCAGCCCTCCCCTCCCCGCCCTCCCTTCTCAGGAAGCTGTACAGGTAACAGGTGCACTGCCCTGTCCCTGGGAGCCCTGGCCGGCTGTGACGTGGAGTCACCCGCCAGCTGTGCCGCCGCAGAGGAGAAAAGGGCACACATGCGCGTCACTGCCTGTGTGCGGTGCTAGAGAGCTGACGTCACAGGTCTGAAAGGGGATCCTGTGGAGGGCATCGTCTGTTGGCTCCCAGGGTTCAGAGAAACACGTCACGTTCTTGAACGGGGGGTGAAATGCAGAGTAGGGATGCAAGACACGCCTCACGCTGTCCGGACTGCAGCCGTGGGACAGGAGTCCCCGCTGCCTGCGACCACAGCGTCTCCCAGTGCCACTCTGTCTCTACCTGTCCCTGACTAACAGAAGCCAGCAGGTGCCAGAGGGCGTCCTAGATACAGCACAGCATGGTAGCGGGCTGTGGTGTCCTGGCCACACCGCGGCCCGGAGACCTGCCTGGCCATCGCCTGCCTTCCCCCCTCCCTCAGGTAGGGAGGGTCGTCTCTGCCTGGGGGCACCCCACCCCCACCCCAAGTAAAACACTTGGTAAGCAGCTGAAATTGGTTTTGGATTCCAGCATTCCAGCTGCTGAGTTGGGAAACGACAGTTGAGTTTGCCAAGTAGTTTTCAGAGCTCAGGAAAAGACAGGAAGCAAGGAAGAAGTCAGATGGGCTTGTTTGTCAGAAGAACGTTGGAACGGTTGACCAAAAGAGACAGGTCAGAAGACACTTGGGGTCGGAGCTGGCCTGTGTCAGGCCCTGGACACACACACACTCTGGCCGCGTTCAGCAGGGATTGGGAAACAACCGGTCTGGGTGTGTGGTCCGGCAGTGGGTGTCCCGGGCTGGGCGTGTGACACCGTCCCCTTGGCCTCCTTACAGCCAAGTACATCGTGCAGGTGGACGGGAAGATAGGGCTGTTCCGGGGCCTGAGCCCTCGCCTCATGTCCAACGCCTTGTCCACGGTCACCCGGGGCAGTATGAAGAAGGTGAGCAGTTGCCCAGGGTCCCGTCCCCCACCCCCACCCCGGCTCCGATCGCTGTCCGCTGCAGCCCGCCGGCCCTGGTCCCACGTCCCCATGCAGACTCCAGTGCGCGGCCCGAGGCCCCCGCCACGCAGCCCTCCCTCTCTCCCACGGCCGTGGCAGCTGTGAGGGCGGCTTTCCAGCTCAGTTCCCCGTCCCGGTGGTTACCGACAGCCCAGACAGCGAACACAGTGCCCGGTGTCCCTCAGGTACTCATGTGTGATTCATGGCTCTGTTTTCCCTCGGCCGCTTTGTGTTTGCTGTCAGGTTTTCCCTCCAGACGAGATCGAGCAGGTTTCCAACAAGGATGACATGAAGACGTCGCTGAAGAAAGTTGTGAAGGAGGTTGGTGTCAAGGGACGGAGAGGAGACGTCTCACCCCCAGTCGGCTGGGTCGTTAAGCCTGCCCGGTGGAAGGAGGCTTGGCTGGACACTGCAGGGGACTCCCTCCCTAAAAATGCCTTGGAAGCTGCTCTGGCCCAGGATGGCAGCGCACCTTGGGGAGGTGTGGGGTGGGGGTGGGCAGCCTCTGGTAGACTGAGGCAGGCTTGTATCTCCCTGTGGGTACCAGCCTGATGGTGCCCACCCTCCTCTTGCAGACATCCTATGAAATGATGATGCAGTGTGTGTCGCGCATGCTGGCCCATCCTTTACACGGTAAGGACATTGCCGCTGGGCCCACTGTAGCACAGGTGGGCGGGTGCAGGCCGGCCCCGCCTGGACACAGCGTAAGCAGTGGTAGATGACTGGGAAGATCCAAGGTGGGACTGGAGACTGGCTGGGGCCCGTCCCGGGCACAGGGGATGCTGTGGCTTTGGACTCTGAGGCCCAACCCTCCTGAGCTGTGTGGCACAGTGGCCACTGTGCACTGGACACCCCAGGGGTAGGGTGCCCAGCCATTGGCTCCCCCCCCCCCCGTCACCCCAATGTTTTATCTTTCCTCAGTCATCTCAATGCGCTGCATGGTGCAGTTTGTGGGACGGGAGGCCAAGTACAGGTAGGTAACCCTTGGCTGTCTGTACTCTTCTGACTCTGGGGGATAGCTCGATGGCTGCCTCGCTTCTGAGGAATGTAGGGGTGGCTTCTGTCCTCGGCTCACTTGAGTCTCTAAGTGAGCCTGGTTCCTTGCAGAGCCTTGTTTCCCTGTGCTGGGGTCTGCTTGGGTTAGGTGTGCGCTGGGCCCCCCAAACTCCTGAACCCCCCAAACCTGGCTTTCTGCTCTCTCATCCTCCACTGAGAAGCTGCCCAGTTCAGCTCGGGCCAGGAAGCCCATGGCCCGAGCACACAGCCTTTTCCGCGGCTGCTTCCGGGCTTCAGTTGTTGTCGGCGGCCAGGATACTTGGCCCTGGGTTCACTCATGGGAGTCGATTCCCTAGACTGAGACGTGAGGTTGGTCAACGACCCGAGGGGACAGACAGCTCAGCTGAAACGCCAGTGGGTCTAGCTAGCCGGGCTTGTACGCCTGCCTCTTCCACCTGGGCCTTGCAGCCCCTCCGTGCGGGCCAGCTGACGTTTCCAGTCACCGGTCACAGAGGTGGCCCTGGAGCCAGGAAGTCCAGCCTGCCGTCTGCCCTCCAGCCGTCTGCACGGCAGGCAGGACTCGACCCCAGGCAGCCGTAGGGGGGGGGGCTGAAGTCTTTCCTGGGTTGACCCCAGGCCTTCCGGCTGTAGTACCCCTCTGCTGCCTTGTCAGGTGGTCCCATCTACCCGCCACCCCTCCCCGTTCTCACTGGCCTTCAGCTCTTCTGTCCTGTGGGTTGTGGCGCCCCAGCATCCATGAGTGGTGTACATCCACCTCGCCCCAGAAGAAAGCTTTCTCCTCCCCTTGGGCTCTTCCTGGTGACAGACCTCCCGTCCTGGCCCGTGCCTGCTGACCTGAGTGAGGCTGGAAGCTGGGCTTCCGCTAGGTGACCTTCTCCATCTTGTCTCCCCAGTGGCGTTCTGAGCTCCATTGGGAAGATTTTCAAGGAGGAGGGGCTGCTGGGATTCTTCGTGTACGTGAGTTATTCCCTGTAACGGCCACGTGTGGCTCCGCCGAGAGGTGTGTTCTCAGTCTCTCGGCTCAGCTGCCGCCCTCGACTAACCAGAGCGTGCCACAGTTGAACAGCTGCTGCCCAGCTGTGCTGTGCTTCCTGGCATGTTGGGGACCAGAGCTGTCGAGGCCTTTCAGGTCACAGCTTAAGTGAAAATGGACCTAGGCAAGGGGTGTAACTTAGTGGTAGAGTGTGGCGCGCCTGCCTGAGGGCCTGGGCTCTGCACCCAGTACCACACACACACACACACACACACACACACACACACACACACACACACACACTAGCTCACGCTGGGGAGGTGAGCTAGCCAGCCCCTGCCAGCCCCGTCTGGGCTCCAGGGTTGCCAGAGACACAGCACTCATCGTCAGAAGCACTGCGTAGTCCTTGGTGTCGTTGCCAAGGTGTCACTGTGAAGCTAGGACTCGGACGAAGGATTGGGTGCTGGCAGTGAGGACCCTGCCTCCAGTCAGGGGGCTCTGTTCTGACAGTTAGTGGACATTGAGTGCTCAAGATGGTTTGCTCAGACGTCCATGCTTTTGGCTTCTCTTGACAAGTCAGAAAACCTGACCCTTTGGGCCTGTGTTTCCAGAGGGCAGCCATTAGCAGAGGCCCAGAGGCCTGTGTCTCTGGGTATGTGATCTGAGGGCCACAGACCCAGCACTCTTGGCCTTTAGCCCAGCTTACTTACCCCCAAAGCAAGCTCAGACCATGCAGACTATTCAGGAAGAAGGGACGTCAGACAGCCAAGGAGCCGGGCTGACAAGTACGGCTTTTGTTTCTCCACTTGAAGGTGTAGGCAGTGGCCTGCAGTGGTCGGGTGCACAGCATACCGATCCTGGGCTCCTGCTCACCGTGCTGGTCAGGTGACGTTTCCCAGTTTGTCAGATGGTGTTGTGGTCTGTGTTTAACCAAGAAGTGACTTGGAATAGAGAGAGACAGACAGCGTGCTTCTCAGATGATTTGCCCCTGGGGGTCCTTGATGATGTCCAGGGACATCTTGTGGCTTTCAGAACTGGCATGCGAGACAGACCCCCAGCTGCTGCTACACCTCCTGAAGTGCAGAGGACAATTGGGTGTTGCTCAGCTCCAGATGCCATGGGGCAAGGCTGAGAAACCCATCTCTGTACACACATCCCCATGTGAGAATGTGGATTCAGGTGCCTGGCACATCAGACTTGGATGCACCGCCCAGCACTGTGCAGCTCGTGACTGGGGTCCCACGCAGCACATGCTTACTTGGGTGTGATCTTGGAGTAGGGATGCATATAGGTTACAGCCTCTCTGCAGCCCCCGGGGAAGGAGGTGCATCTGCCAGGATGTTTGTTGACAGCCCTCCGAACACTGGTATGTTACTTAACACTTTCGTGGACTTTCAGAAAAAAGACTTTTGAAAAGGTTTATGTATTTATTCCTTTTATGTGTGTGTGCCTGTGTAAGTTTGTGTGCACTGGGTGCACACAGGAGCCACAGAGGCCAGAGGAAGCCTCAGGTCCCTGGAGCTAAGCCAAGCCAGGTCCTTTGCAAGAGCAGCAGGTGCTCCGACCTGCCTGTCAGTGTCTCTGGTGCCTCGGCACCTTCACAGGGCACCTTCCAAGCCGGATTTAGTCAGCGGTCTGCCGTAAAGGCTATCACTGCACGGTAGCTCTCCTTGCGAGCACTTGCATGGTGCATCGTTGGTGGAACGTTCCAGATGGAGGACAGAGACATGGAGCGGTTCTTTGAGAATTGGTCCGATGAAGCGACCAGGAGAAGCCGCCAGGCGCCAGGCACACCTTTGTGATCTGTATGTGCCGGGTGCGGCTGCCGTCACACCATAACACCGGGATTTCTGCAGATTGAAAACAGCTGGTGACAGCCTGACTAGTCTGTGACACCGGAGTCCTCCTTGAGGGAGGAGGGCCGCTGCCTGTCCGGCCTGGGTGCTGCAGGTGTAAGCTGGGGGCAGCCTTGGCGCCTCCTGGGTCTCCTCCCTGCTCACCTCTGCCCACCTTGTCTTTTTAGCGGCTTAATCCCTCACCTCCTGGGCGATGTGGTTTTCTTGTGGGGCTGTAACCTGCTGGCTCACTTCATCAATGCCTACCTGGTGGACGACAGCGTGAGTGACACCCCAGGGGGGCTGGGGGACGACCAGAATCCAGGTTCCCAGGTTGGTTGGAACAAGGGTCGCCTTTCTTTGTGTGTGCTGATGCCCAGGGTCTGGGGCAGGCTGGGACTTTGGGATTGTCTTGACTCAGGGGTGAGAGGGGACCCCTAATCGTCTCTGGCACTGGGAAGATTACGCTGACCCCTGCCTGAGAGGAAGTTAAGGAATTCCACGCCTGCAGTGTTAGAAGTGGGCCCTAGTTTATCCGAAATTCTCGGCAAATGAGAGGAGGCAGCTAATAGCCACAGTCCTTCATAGTTGGTGTTTTTAAAACCCACTGTGAGTTGGGGGGCGGTGGCACACGCCTTTAATCCCAACACTTGGGAGGCAGAAGCAGATGGATCTCTGAGTCCAAGGCCAGCCAGGGCTACACAGAGAAACCCTGTCTCAAAAAACAAACAAACAGGCAGACAGGCAGACAGACAGACAGAAAGACAGAAAGCCCCACTGTGGCCTGGCATGTAACCCCAGGCCTGGGGAGGCCGTGGTAAGAGGACTGTGCAGTCAAGGCCACCCCAGACTGTAGATGAAGACCCTGCTCTCCTAAAGTGCCTCTCCATGACCGCCGTGACCTTTGGTCCTGGCCCCTCCAACAAAAGGCAAGGGAAAAGCACAGGTTTAACATTCCAGGCCAGGTGGTGCCACCTGGTGTTAACCCGCTGTGGCTGCGGGGTCTGCAGACCTCACCTGCAGGGGTCAGGCATCAGAAAGCCCGGGCACCTGATGGGTTGATAGGTTCTGCTCAACCAAGATGAGGATTGGGGTCCACAATGGGTTAGGGTTCCTGGAAGGCAGGCGTTCTGGCGGCAGGAATGGCCGGGCCTGGAAGGCTAGGGGAGGGGTCGTGGTCCATGGGGTGTCTGTTGGCTCTGCTTGGCAGCCTGGGGGAGGGTGGCCTGTGATGGGAGGAGACTGGTGGCCCTGTGGCTGGCTTGGGGGATCTTCACTGTTCTTTCGGGGGTCTGTGGAGATGCGCCCTCATCTGCAGTGACATTGACGTGCCCTCAGCTCTACCTCAGGGGCCGCGTGGGTGGGCGGGCACTGTGACAGGAAAGAGCAGGGCGGGACAGTGGGCAGTGCCCAAGGCCCTTGACCAGCTGTCTGGGTCACGGAGCACAGCTCTGCTCAGGCCGCTTACACACCTTTCTGAGCAGTCGGCTCTGCTATGGAAGGCGCATCCTGTAAGGACTCTCAGGTTTGGAGAGGCTGCCACACCTGTCCGGCCAGAGTTACCTTCTGCGGGGCTCCGGGCATCCTGTAGTGGGATGACCACTTGGAGAAGACACCAAGGGGCAGGCCGTCACCTTTCCTAGTGAGAGCTGTTCTCTGGGGAAAGTCCGGCGTTAGGAGTGGGGTGGAAGCTTGGTGAGCTGGGGTTGGCAGCGGTAGCCCAGAGTGACCACACACTTCGTGCCCAGAACCGGGCTCTGGCCTGGGACACGAGGTGGAAGCTTGTCTTCTCCTTTGGGAATCCTCAGCGGATTGTGACTGCTCCATGCTAAGGCCACATCTGGGAGACTCACCCCAGACTCCACAGGTGTCTGCAGCCCAGCTGGCCTGGTTCCGCCTCCCAGCCTCTTTCCCAGCTGACGGGGAGGGCACAGGAGGGACTGGCCTGGAAAAGGGGGTTGTGAGGGTCAGATGGGGCAAGGGGAGGGTACCACAGAGCTGAAGTCTGCCCTAACATCCCTGTGGTAACCCGCGTCCTTTCCGTCCGCAGTTCAGCCAGGCCCTGGCCATCAGGAGCTATACCAAGTTTGTGATGGGGGTAAGTCCCGCTTATTGCCGTTAAGGGCCAGGGTGGGCTGGAGGCAGGTCTGACTGGGCCTGTGGGGGCTCAGGGAGGGGCATGCTGGCGCTGATGTCCGTCTGTCTGTCTTTCAGATTGCAGTAAGCATGCTGACCTACCCCTTCCTTCTTGTTGGAGATCTCATGGCTGTGAACAACTGTGGGTGCGTGTGTACCCTCCCACCCGGCCCCCGACCAACGCTGCTGGGACATCCAGATGAGCGAGCCCTCAGCCCCTCTGCCCACACACAATTTCCTGTGGCGTTAGCATGGCGGTGGGGTGGGCGTAGGGCGCGGCTCCTTCGAGTTCCCCGGACCTCTCTGACAATGTGTCTGAGGACCCCTCTGTTTCCTCCACAGGCTGCAGGCTGGACTCCCTCCTTATTCCCCTGTGTTCAAGTCCTGGATCCACTGCTGGAAGTACCTGAGTGTGCAGGTGAGCATGCTGGGGTGGCGGCTCGTGGCTGCTCTGGAGGATGAGGCGCCTGGAGGAACTCCTTTGTGAGAGGGTGGATGGGAGACGCCTGCTCTGAGGCATCCACGCGTTCCCCTTTCAGAAAGGCTGCAGGGCACTAAGTAGGTACCAAGTAGGTACTGAGCAGTCCACTCTGGCTGAGGGGTGAAAGTCACACGAGACTGAGGCTCAGGGCCTGCGCCTTTATTCTTATTTTTTATTTTTTCTGTTTTTTGAGGCAGGATTTTTCTGTGTGGTTTTGGAGCCTGTCCTGGGATTCACTCTGTAGCCCAGGCTGGCCTCGAACTCTCAGAGATCCTCCTGGCTCTGCCTCCCGAGTGCTGGGATTAAAGGAGTGCGCCACCACTGCCCGGCCTGTGCCTTTAAAATTAAACAAAGGTTGCTCCTCCTCGGGAGGCGGTAGGTGGCAGAGACCAAGAACTCATTCCTCCAATGACAGGGTGTCTGGGATGCAGTCAGCCAAACTCCTTCCTAGGGCCCTCCTGGACCTGGGGGATCTTCCGGGATCAGCTGGGCCTGATGAAGGGCTGGAAGGAACAGCCATGGTTTCTGGGGCTTTGCACTAAAGCCTCCTGCTTACTATAGCTTTTGGGGGCCAGTGACCAGCGGTCAGGGACCAGGCTCGGGGCTAGCGGCAGGTGCTTCCAGTCAAATGAGGTGCTGGCTGGAAGAGCCGGAGTGCCGAGTGGCTTGCCGGTTGAGGTGACTCAGGGTGACGGGTTTGCTTGGCACTCCTGAGAGCCCGAGTTCAGTCTGCAGAGTCCACACGAAGGCGGGAGGAGAGAGCCTCCTCACCAGCTTGTCTTCTGCCCTCCACACGTGAGCTCTAACGTGTGCACACCTCACCCGTCTCACACACACACACACACACACACACACACTCACACACACACACTAACAGTAAACATGGCTGGTTCTCGTCTTTACTAGGAGGGAGGAAGAGGCACAGCCAGTTGGGCTGCCTGCATCTCAGCCTCCGCTTGGGGTTGGAAGAGCAAGTCTCCTCTTTGGAGGTTTCCTCCAGGGCTGGGGGCGGGGTTCCTGCTCAGACACAGGCACCGGAGCCCCCCAGGCATGAAGGGAACCCCCTTCCTTCCCAGAGATTCCGCACAGGCGAACTCGTAGTTTTGAACCCAGTGTCTTGTGAGTGCTAGGCAAATACTCTGTCTCTGACCTAGACCCATTCCAGCCCCCTTTGGTTTCATTTGGTTTGGTTTTTGAGACAGGGTTTCTCTGTGTAATAGTTCTGGCTGTCATGGAACTCGCTCTGTAGCCCAGGCTGGCCTCGAACTCACAGAGATCCGCCTGCCTCTGCCTCCCGAGTGCTGGGATTAAAGACGTGCACGACCACTGCTGCCTGGCTCCCAGCCCCTTTTTTACTTTTTTTTTTTTTTTTTTTAAAGATTTATTTATTTATTTATTATGTATACAGAAGAGGCTGCCAGATCTCATTACAAATGATTGTGAGCTGCTATGTGGTTGCTGGGAATTGAACTCAGGACCTCTGGAAGAGTAGTCGGTGCTCTTAACCTCTGAGCCATCTCTCCAGCCCTTTACTTTTTATTTTTAGACAGGGTTCCACTAAGTTGCCCAGGCTGGCCATGAACTTACCTGTGGCCCAGACAGAGACTGAATTGCAGTCTTCCTGCCTCAGTATCCCCCTGGCTGGGTGTACAGGCAAACTCTGCCCTTGCTTTCATGATGGCGCCTTGTCCCTTCACACCCTTTACATGTGACCCCGGGCCTCTGGGCCCCTTCTCTTACTCTAAGGAAGCATGGCCTCGCTCTCATTGACTGCCGCTCTTCTCCCGCAGGGCCAGCTCTTCCGTGGCTCCAGCCTGCTTTTCCGCCGTGTGTCATCAGGGTCGTGCTTTGCCATGGAGTAACCTAAGTCACCTGACCAAACATTTACGGGGTCTTGGCCTACCCCCGGTGAGGGCCCGTCATCTCGGATGCCTGAGGGACTCCATCCCGGCCTGGCTTCATGTCCATATTTGCCATGTGTCTGTCCAGATGTGGGGCTGGTGGAGGTGGGGGGCCTGGGACCTGGGGGAGCAGTGTTGGGGAGGAGGGAGCCCCTTCCTGCCCAGAGGTACCTGAGTCTGTCTTGTGCAAGGGCAGAGAAAGGCCGCGGAGGCAAAGGTCACAGGCAAGGCTTAGGGATCAGGTCCTCCACCTCCAGCCCAGCCCACCCCGCCCTCAGCCAGAGGCAGCCGCTCCTGCTGTGTGAATAGGGCACCATCATGCCTTGGGCCCGTGCTGGGAGGCTATGCTGTGTCCTACCCTGGTTCTCAACACTACTTTTCTGACCCAAGGGCAGTGCCTTCTCCTGCTGGGAAATCATGTGACTCCTCAGATTATCCCCCTCATCCGCTTGTCTAATGGTGACGCCAGGTGTGAGGGCTCTGTCTCCTGTGCCGTGTGTGCATACGCACGCACAGGTTACGCAGGCTCATCGATGTCTAGTCCTCCCCTCGTGGTAAGATAGGACCCCTTCTCCTCGAATAAATGTATTGGTGGTGATTTGGACTTTGGTGGGAGCCTCTTATTTCTGTGAGCTTCGCCAGCCCCTTGTGCTGGTGTCTGGGTTCTCTGGACTGCCAGCCTGGGCCCAGGTGTGGCAGGGCCGTGTCCTCTCTGTCCTCGGGGTTGAGGCTGCGGTGCCTCTTCACAGAGTAGCGGCTGGCACTCAGGCCTTCTGCCAGCGAGGTAGCGGCTGTTCCAGAGTCCCACCCAAGCTACCGAGTGGCACTTGGCACCTTTTGAAGGTGACTGTTTTCAAGTCTTTTTGGTGCAGCGGCCACACGGTCAGAGCAGGAGGAAATGGCCAGCCATCTTCTGCCTGGCCGTGAGTGTCTCCCTCCCTCCACGGGGCCCGGCATATGAGAGTTGCAGTTTGCTGCCTTTCACTTCCCCTCAGGTAAGGTCGGGGTCATCCCCAGAAGGCTTTGGCGATCTCTTTCCCGGTAATCTAGTGACAGGGACTGGGGGCAGGTCTACTCTGCGTGTCTTTAATGCCCAGCAGCGAGGTGTGGTGGGCCCTGTGCACGCGAACAGTGCTCGAGGCCTCTCTGCTCTCGTAACTGTTAGTTTACATTCCCTTTGCTGGAGAGCCTCACCCCAGACAGCTACGGTCCCGGATGTTGCCACATCGCCTCGTGAGCGTCACCTTAGGTCAGTGTCCTGAGGCTGTCCGCCCAGTGCATCCCCACATTGACCACAATGCTGGGTGACTTTTCCTCCTTGTCCTTCTTCAAGTCCTGTCTGCACTGGTCCTTCCAGTGACCCCCAGATTTAGGGGCATTTGTGTTTCACAGTTGAGCTGAGCTGTCCTAAAGAGGTGCCCCTGCCCTGAGCCATAGCCTCCCAGAGGTTCGGAAGGAGCTGCCCGGCCTAACGACTAAGGAAGGGTTTGGTTGGTCTGACCACTGGGCACAGGAGGCCCTGCTGTGCCCAGATCCTATCCTGGGAGCTAGAGCAGGAGTCTGTCTGTAGGAGGTCTGGTGGTTGAGCAGGGCACTGAGCCGCACTGCCAGTGGGGAGGAGTGACGGGGTGGGAGTGTCCTGCAGGAACAGTGACTTCCCTTCTGGATAAGCGTATTCTTAGGGAGAGTTGGAAGGGCTGCGGCCGGCCTTCTGAGACTGTCTCCTAAGGCGGCAGCGGTAGTCTGAACTGTCCCTTCGGCAGCCCTCGTCACTGCCGGCCCCCAGAAGCCTGGAAGCCATGGCTTCCCGCGTGAAAGAAGACTCTCAGATCCTCAAGGCTTCTGGGTGCCGGCCTTTAGTCTTCTGTTGAACACCGTTCCGTCCTTACCGACATGTCCCCGCTCCCTGTCCATCTGACAGCCTGTGCTCCTGAAACCTCCCTGATCCCATACTCCTGACCTCTGATAAACAGATGCCCCTGCTGGGTAAGTCAGGAAGAGCCACAGAGAAACCAGGATAGGCTTGGGCCTCTGCGCGCTCTGCTTGGCCCAGCCCCATCCCTGACCACGCATGCCTAACACCAGCTCAAGCAGAAGGCCTTCCCAGGAATGCAGCAGCTTTGACATCTGAAGATCAAATGTTAAAGTCATATACTCTGACCACACGACCAGCTCAGGAGACGGGAAAGGGCCTTTGGAAAAAGTCAGCCCTCTCACAATAAGATACAGACAAGGACCACAATGGCCTTCATGAAGAATTCTCCCAACTGGGGCTGGGGAGATGCCTCAGCCAGTAAAGTCCATGTTGCATAGGCTTGAGGACCCAAGTGTGGTCCTTAGCACCCACATAAAAGCTGGGTGCAGTGACGCAGGTCTGTAGCCCTAGCACTGGGGGCAGGGGTGGGTAGGGTGGAGACAGGTCCCTGAGGCTCACTCATGGGCTAACCGTCCTAGCCAGATTGAGCTTCAGCGTCCACGAGAGATGCCATCTCACAAAAGAGGGTGACGGCCCCTTAGAGTGACACCCAAGACGGACCTCTGGGCTACACGTACTTATGCACCCGTGGGTACAACACACCCAAGCCCATACACACAATGCAACTTTGTAGTAAAGAAAACATTCATGCTGTAGAATGCATGAACCTTGGAGATATGTTAAGTAGTCACAAAGACATGATCTGTCACGAATTCATATGAAAAGTCAAAAACGGGCAAATGAGGGCCGTGAAATGGCTCAGCAGTGAAGGTGCTTGTTACCGAGCCTGACCCCTGTGGTAGAGGGAGAGGAGGTCCTCTGACGCATGAGCCCCTCCCCCAACAAAAAAGGAAGGAACAGGAAATGTACATACAGATAGGAAGTGGATGAGCAGTTGCTTTGGGCTGAGGCGGGGTGTGTGGGAGTGGGGACCAGTGGGTAAGGTGCTTCTTGGGTAATGGAAATGTCCACTGTTGGTATTAGTTATAGTTACACAGTCCTATACTATACTAAAACCCATCAAGTTGGGGATGACCAGTTGGCTCGGTGGGTAAAACAAAAAAAACAAAAAAAAGCAAAAAGAACAAAAACAAGCAGAAAGAACAAAAATAAAAAATCTCAAAAATAAAAAAGCAGAAAGAAAAGCCACCCAAATAAAGATGTTGGAGTGGTATACATGTGTGCTGGGCACTTATGGAGGTTGGAGGACGGACCTGCAGGAGTCAGTTTTCTCTTCTACAGTGTGGGTCCAGGGATTTGAACTCAGGCCACTGACCTGACAGCAAGCCCCTTTTACCCATGAGCCATCTCACTGGCCCCCAGTTGTATAGTTTAAATGGGTGACCTCTGTATCTTAGTGTATTGAGAGGAACAGCCTTGATAGGTCAGCACCAGCCAGGACCTCCCTAGCCCAGGTCACCGCCTCTCGTTTGTTGCCTTTTGCCCTTGTTTTCCTGGCCCACAGCACTTCTGGACCACTCTACTCTGATCCCCAGAGAGGTTTCTAGGCCCTGGGACCCTGTCTCGGGGCCAGGACAGGCCCTAGCATCACACCCTTGTGGAAATGTCCCGAAGCCACCTACCTACCTAAGCTCCACTGACAACTTCTGAGGTTGGGAGAGGCAGCCAGGAACCCCGGGCCTTCCCTCTGCTCTTTCTCTCTCCTGCCGGGCCGCGCACGCGTGTGCCTTGGGTGGAGTGGAAGTTACCAGGAGGAAAGGGGTGGCCCAGAGTGTGGGGAGAGAGATGCATAGGGGGCAGAAGCAGGTGTCCCACAGCACTCCACCTCATGCAAGCAGACTTAGACAGGCTTTATTCAGGAGTCAAGGCCACCTCGGTTACCGGCTCCCCGTCTCCCCACCCACAGAACCCCACTTGGGTGGGGCTTGTTCTTCAGCTGCCCCTCATGGCCTGACATCCAAGGCACATGGGCACCCGGAGATGGGGAGCCCCAGAGTCTGCAGGCAGACAGCACCCCCACCTCCACCCTGTGGGGCAGGCAGGTATCATGCCGTCCACGGGACGCTGTTGTAAGGGGCAGGAAGGGCCCTGGTGTGCAGTTTCTGGTGAGCTGGACTCCACACCCTTCCAGAGGGCCGTTAGCCAGGCAGAATCTTGTTTGAGGGCTGGGGACAGGGTGGAGGACACAGCAGTTAGGCAGCTGACCTCTTCTCCCTGGGAAGGAGTGGGCACCTCTGTAGATACGCCTGGACTCAGAACGCTCCAGAAAGAAGACGTTCCCGAGGAGGCTCCGATCCGCTGTCCTTAGGAAACCAGGCACGCACACATGTGTGGTCACTAGAACACTGCTGAGGGCAGCATCCCCCCACCCCCGTGGAGAAGCACTCCTGGGGGTACTGGGCTGGCACTGCTCAGTAGAGAGGGAAAGGGGGTGTGTGTACAGAGAGCAGGACCTGCTCCAGAAGCTCTGGCTTCTAACTTGGAGACAGAATCCAGATTGGGCAGGAGGCCAGTCTCCCCAGGCCTTGCCTTTGAGGGTCCCCTTCAGAATATTCCAGCCAGGAGCAAGGAAGGCAGCAGCAGTCCCAGGAGAGGGCCCCACACATGACCAGAACTGTGCTTCAAACCCAAGCCGGCCTTTTCAGGGTCCTCTGCACCTGCGGAAAGGAAGGCGCCGTGGCTCAGCTTGAGAACAGCCTGGCTCTCCACCCACTCCATGCAAGGTGCAGGCAGCAGGCAGGGAGGAAGCCTCTTCCAGATCATGCATGCTTTACCATGCCCCAACCACCGGTGGCGGCACAGGATACCTGCATTCTGGAGCCAGGAATAGGGGCTGCGGGCCTTACCTGTCCGGGGTGACTGTAGGGCCAGGGTGCGTCCGCCTGTGGCATTAGCCGCCGAGGCAGAGGCACTGGGGACGTGGGAGGCAGGGTGGCCCGAGTGGTCCAGTGAGGCCTGCGGTCCCCCATGCTCCTGGGCTTGACCCAACACCTCACTGGAAACAGGCAACTCGGCCTCTGCCTCAGGCACCTCGGCCTCCACCTCAGCCTCCACCTGGGCCTGGGGTAGGGTCTCTCCTGTCTGTGTCAGGAACATCGTGGGGTACAGAGATTTCTCTGGGCTCACGGAGGTTGCGCTCGACTTGCTGGCTTCTTTGTCCGTAGACTCGGGGTCAGGGATATGTGTGGATGTGGGGAAAGTAGCGGGCCCCTCATCCAGTGAGGGCTGGGTGTGCATGGTGGAAACCGAGGGGACCTCCGCCAGGAAAGACTCAGCCTCTGTTGCCATGGAGGAGGGGCCTTCCGTTGCTAAGGAAGATGGGGCCTTTGTTTCTAACGCAGGTGAGGGCTCGGTTGCCAGGGAGTCCGAGACCTCTGTTACCGAGGTGAAATGTAGCGTCTCAGAGGTTGCTAGGGACGGAGTACCGGTTTCCCTGGAGCTTGGGGCTTCAGTCGCCCGGGTGGAAGGGACCTCGGTCACCGGTGGAGGCGAATCCTGCTCCTCTTCCGGGTTTCTTGTGGGCTCTGTTTGGCAAGGCTAAGCATCAGTGCTGCAGACGGGACCCCACCCGGCCGCGCAATGTCCCACCGGGACAGGACGCGCAGGCCACACTTTTCTGCAGCGGGTGTGCCCCTCTGGTAATGCAACTTCTCGACATTGATCCAGCT